CAATTGGCAAAGAAAAAAAGATACCCAGAAATATTGGACGGGAAAAGAATGCATCAAAACAGTAAAGAGTCAATCTAAGGCTAACTCGTTTTCAGGGCTTCTTTAAACTTTTTTACAAATACAGTTTTTAAGGTACTTAGTTTTGTGTCAATTAGCACTCATTCAGGCAAGATGATACTAGCTACATTTTCTGAGATAAGGTTTGCTTTAAGCTCAACTGTACGATCACACCAGTGGGTAAAGGATGTGGAAAGATTCGACTTGATGTGTTACCCAACCATTCAGGAAGGCCGCCTATTTCTACTAAAGGATTTTCCCACATGGGATACATAAGATCAGAGGCTGCAAAAATCATTCAGACATAGGTCACAGTTAGCTTGACTCACTAATACAAAGAATATTAACAGAAGGCCGATGCACACATGGGATGTTTGCCATTTGTGTGGGCATAAAGTGAAGTTTGAGCCCAGGGAGGGATATCTTTTTCCTTAAATTCTGTACTTTTTCATGACAAAAATATAACGTCAGTTGACGGAAAATTCCACTTTTCCACATTTAAATACTTGTTGTTATCAGTTTTGTTTTCTTCTGTTCTACAAAAAATGATCCTTCAAATTTCTGCCCACAGGTCGGTTTTCTTTTTTCGCTTTAACAAGCTTTGGTGAAGACAAGATGATGGCTCTTCTGGGTCATTTTAACATATGGTTTCCTCTTTGAAGGACAAAGCCTCCACCTGTATTTATGGGTGACAGTGAACTGCGATGCATTGAGGATTTACAGAATGTGCATGCTTTTAATTCAGTATCACCCGAGGCTACAAAGGGGAAAAGCCTCCAGCCAAGACAGAGATTTGACAATACTCACCAAAAATCCTCTTTACGTCGGAGGGAAAATTAATCTTAAATGTGCTATTTTGAAGCCCAGTTATGTGATCAACCTTTTTCCTGACATCTCACTTAGCTGGAACATGTTCCTTCAACTCTTTTTTTTTTGTTTGTTTATTTTTAGATCCATTCATGACATTAAATATACACCAGGAGGATATTTTTCATTGAAAAATAATATATTCCACTCTCATCATTTGATGTTTCCCGTAATCTATTTAAAGAGAAATCCGAGTTAACTGAACTTAAAAGTCATTGTGTTTATTGCAAAACAGCCCAGCTTTCTTTGGAATTGGAGTTATGAAAAGGGAAAAAGAGTTGTGATCATTATCGAGACGGGTTTCAAGACCACCTTCTTAGACTAGGAGAGTACATCCATTACATAGCACTTTCAATACATTATATAAACCACCATTTGTTTTGTCCTGGGTTACAAATATCAGGCACTTGGTTATACTGGAGGGTCAATGACACTCAGATAGCATGCAGAAGGACCAACATAGGTCAGAGCCAAACATCAGTGATGTGCCAGATTGTCACTTTAAACCAAGATCGCTGCTTGGTAGTAAAGTGTTGCTTGACCTGAATTATTATCGCCCTTCTGTTTCTCTCTTGTTAGTCTATCCTTATTCCCTCAAACCCCCCCACCCATCCCCCTCCTAGTATTCATCCAGGCACCAGACATTCTTGACATTTTGCAAAGGTTGAAAGACAAAGAACCTTTGTCTCCTAATAAGGCCACACTCCATACTGCACCTGAATGAAAACACTGGGCGAGCAAAGGCTGCTTGTGTGGGAAGGCGCGCATAGATGGAGATATTTGTGCATGATGGTCTGGGGGATTTGGGGAAACAGATGGGAGTGGGATAATATATAGAGAATAAGTGGGTAGGAAAGAGAGGAAATGATAGGAGAAAGAAGAAAGAAAAAGTTTAAAATTGTTATGATCACTACCCTGTATATATAGGCTGAAAGTAATATCAGTTTAATATTAGTGCCTAAAGTAAGTTATTGCCATGATAAACAAACCAGTGCAGCCTGACGCTTCACCTCCCGTTACACAGACAGACTCGGATGCTCTTGAAGACAGCAATATTCTCCATCACTGCAGGAGCTTGAAGCAGAACTCTCAACACCCAAGGTCCTTCTGGTCTCCTCTCATCTCACTCGCTCATCCATCACACCCCTCAGCTCTACCTCTCACCTCCCCCAGACTCTTGCGTTCCATATTCCTGCTCAGTTTTTACATGAAAACTTTCTACGAAACAGCTGAAGCAGGCGAAAAAACAGTCCTCTGGAAAGTATGTGCAAGGACAGAGGAGTGATGAAATAGAGAGGTTAAAATGACAGATCTGGCCAAACGCATCACCTTTTGCTTTACCGTTGGTGGACACTGTGCTTGTTTTCTTAAAGTAATCTCTATCATCCTGCTTCTGAGTTTTCGGAGGACTGAGTCAAGGAGTCAAAGGACGCTGCTGTTTTCTGCTACTTTGTTTTGTCTTAGCATTACATAAGCGCAAGGTAAAAATATCTGGACCTGTCTTTAGAGGCAGATGGAGCGGTTATGACATCAGGCTCGTTAAAGGTGGCTATAACTAGTAAAAGCTAAGAGTTTATGTGAACGGCGCCGCCTGAAATACACATTCCTCAACTAACAAGGAAAAAGAAAGCTTCAGTGTCTCCGATGTACTGAAAAACTGAAGTTTCTTCTTTCTCTGCATTATAGTTTCTGTGCTGGTATTCTGTCACTCACTGGGATGTGGGCAGATATGAGATAATAGTGAGACTTTCGCATTAATTCTGCTCACAACTCAGGAGCCAACGTTAACCGCGTCTTTGTTGTTTTACCCATGAGCCCGTTGTCTTGGAAACGTTGCATAAGAAGGGAGTGGGAAAGCAGGATGCCCCTTGCTGATTGGGAGACAAGGTGGTAGATCTGTCTTTCTCTCGCCTTGTCATGAATCTTCCTCGTGCACTTCCCCCTTTTCCCTACTCTCACCGCTCGCTCTTATTGCATGTACCAAAAGCTCCAAACGTCCCTTCATGCCACGTGTTGAATCGAAACGAAAGGACGTGCAAGCTCCTCCAAGGAAAGTACCACGGTCAGAAACAGAGCTGTTTCCTGGCCCTGTACCCAAGCTTAAACTAAATTAAACCTCCTGTTGAAGCAGTGATTTATAGCCCAATTGGAAATGTTCGTCCACAGAGTGCTCACACAATAACACCAGCAAACACACTCGTACAGTTCCCTTTAAGTTCCCTTTGTGTGTCATATTTGGCTGTGGGAGGACTTAAAATCATTAAATACCGTCCTGTATTGAATCCACTTAGACAATACGTTGCGACTGCATGATGTGGCCTTCCACAGCTTCTGTGTGAGGGTGGGGGATCGCACGTGAGAGAGAAATGGCCTCGGCTCTGGAGGCAGGACAATTTATCTTCTGTATCTTTACTGACTCCAGGTTACTGCTTCATTTGACATGGAGACAGAAACACAATCTTACACACTTAAAAGCAGCTACAACAGCCAAGATTGCAGTTCATCCAAGTTTGTCAAAACAGAAAACACTGGGAAGTTATCTGAGCAAATCGGCCGCTGCGGTACAATTAATATTTTCTGAAATAATAACCTCAAATTGAGTTTCTTGTGTAATCTGCATATAATAAGCCAAGAAAAGAGCAGGGTGGGCAGCCCCTGTGTGAGAGAGCTGTCTTAATCCATGTGTTTAGCAAGCACCATCTGTTCCTTTTATTCAGCTGGGAGAAGAAATATTTGGTTGATTAGGAGGGGATCTGTGAAGGATAGCCACACCGTTACCAACGGTTACAAGGAACACACATGCCTGATTCTGTCAACTGGTGTCTTGGAAATCAGACAGGAGGCACACTGACATCAACATGCAAGTTCTCAACAGCACGTGTTAAAGATGCAGAATTGCTCCATGCATACATACCGACTCCAGTCAAATTTGCCATAATTATGCAACTGCACAAAGATGTAACTACAGATTAGAAATTGATATTTGACACCATAGTGTCTATACATCGTAGCAGGGCTTTTAATCAGGACAATTAATCTTCAGGTTATGTTTTAGGGAGTCAGCATTCCTTGATTATTAGTTTTGTGTACATGTTGCGAGCATCCCAGTAGCACTGAGTAGTGTTTCCTATTAATGGATACTAACAGTGAAGCTTCCATTACATTACATCACATATCTGCCTGTAATTAAGATGAAAAAGACTTTAAATTATAAGTCAATAAAATGAGGCACAGATGAATGTATTTGGATGTATTATAAGTGGTTTACTTGAATAAATGGGCCAAGTGGTCGGATAAGCAAGGGATCAGATTTCACAGGCGTGTTAATCATCAGATCTTACTGTCAGCCACTGCAGAACTCTTCCTGTGATTTTGGGATTTGTAACTTTTAAACACTCAGACAGTGAGTCAACTCAGTCCAGAATCATAGTTTGTACTTTTCATGAACCTTGAATATCTATTAATGTCAGTCATGCAGCCTATTTCCAATTATTTAAGATAAAAAATGATTCCTTCGTTAGTTCAGAGATTCAGAGTTGACCTTCGAAGTGGCAGTTTTATTTTATGGGAAACACAACATTTACCCTACATTGCTTGTTCAGGTACACTTTCTCTTGCACCAGTGTAAAAACACACTGAGACTAAATAACATGCTGGCATCATCAGTGACTTGCTCAAAGTACACTAGTGGGCACCAGTAGTGGACACTGATGGCATTGTGACCGTCACATTCACAAGGCAATAGAACTGCAACTCCACTGTGGATTTAAACGTTGGTCACTCATGGTTCCTCTCCATACCCAACAGCTAACTGTTAATGGTCATTAGACTATCTTCTATTAGTGGATTTCTTTGTCCACCATGAGAAGAAAGGTCATGTGTCTACTGCAGCAGCCAATTAAACTTTCACTGTGCATTGTTCCTGGCATGCTGGTGTGTAATTTCAACACTATGCTTCCAGTGATTTGCAATCAAGTTATAAATATGCATGAAGAGAAATATTTATTCAGAAACTTTTTTTTTCATAATAAATAAAAAAAGGGGATTGAATTTTTTATTTTTCTTTCTATTTTAAGGATCTCCCATTGGTAATATGTGAATATGTTTGCCAATTTAACAGCATCGGAGCTTTTGTCGCATAGAAAATATTAATAATTACAATACACGCTTGCGTGGGCTTTCTGTCTACAGGTGCAGATCTGGGTGGCATGATGGACCTGGAGTCTCTGTACAGAGGGGTGGAGCAGAGCATAAACCACACCCGAGCGGGCCGCGTGCGCAGACAGAGCCTCGACAGAGCCTACAACATTGAGGTGCTGCTGGGTGTGGACGACTCCGTGGTCCAGTTCCATGGAAAGGAGCACGTGCAAAAGTACCTGCTCACACTCATGAATATCGTAAGTGGCTAAGGCTCTCACTGATGGAAACACGAACATCTGGGTACATGGACGAAAACATACGTAAAAAAAAAAATGGACTGGCAATAAGAATTTTCAGCTTCTTAGGTTATTTGTATGAATTGCATTAATGCAAGCACCATACACATCTAACAAGTGATCTAACAATGTCACACACCTAACAAGTCATTAAATGAGGAAATTCTTCCATTTGAGTTGAATGGAAAGTCACCGAAAGGTCAAAGAAAGAGAGTAACACACACATACACACTTCCACTGAATGAGGATTCTATTCCCTCTCTACATGGCCTCATCCAGCAATCAGCCCCGGGTAATCCTTTTTCCCCTATCTGAATATGATGAGATTTCATTTGTGTGTGTGTGTCTGCGTGTGTGTAAGTGGAGCTCTCTGTGGTGAAGGGGGCTCCCGCATATCATTTCATCAGGCTTTGTGTCATGTCATCATACATTGGGACTCTGTACGCGTGTGTGTGCGTGAGGGGAAGACGCAGAGGCCGCAGGTAGTGTGTTCCTGGCCACAGCACTCTTTCTCCCAGGTGTTGTGAGTTTTTGCGTGGGCGTGTGAGCGAGCCCGCGCGCGTTGCTGTGGCACTGCAGACTTTAATCTTTGCAAATTAAACCTGTGGTGAAAGTGTTTTTTTGTTTTTTTGCATGCGTTCATACGTGTGTGTGCGCACGCGTTCTGTTTGCTTTTGCTTGTATTGCGACCCACTGCGCAAGGAACAAACCTCCGACTGTTAAGCAGGTGCAAGCACAGAGCAGCAAATCCTACCACACCTCTTTGTCTCAGTTCAGCGCTTGAGAAAGAACAAGAGCAGCTGTGCTCCCTGCCTCCCCTTTTAGATATTTGTTAGACAATATAGGCGAAGGGAATAAGCAGCCATGTCGCAGCTCTCCTTTAATCTGAGGGGAAGAGATGGAGAGAAAGAGGGAGAAGGAGTATTTTAAACAGCACATTCAGAATAAATTACTGACAGCCAGATAAACAGAAATAAATAAATAAATAAGGGTGTCCTCCCACGCTTGGTATCGGGGCGACTTTCTTCTTGAAAGTTTGCTTTGCTCACTTCAGGATGGGTGTGCTCTGTCTGACTTTCTCCATTTCTATCTCTCTCACTCTCTCAGTCTCCACAGTGTTGCTTACTTGTTATGGTTCTCCTCCCTGGTTTACAGCAACAAATTCTCAATGATATGAAAAAAGGAACTTTGCTCCCTCTAAAGCTCACAATACTTGGATCAGGTCTGAGCTATTGTGATAGTGTCACATATTATCCTCAAAATTAGGATCCTTTGTGCCATTTATTGTAACCAAGTCGCTGGAAAAAATGCTGGCATTCAATTGCTGCAGACTAGCTGAGTTGTATTATATCAATCAATCTGAATCTGAAAGAGCCCTGTCTGGCTACCAGTCACAGATCAGTGCGCTGGTTCAAGATGATAAAGAAAGGCAACAGTAGCTCTTACAACCATTCTTGACAACCGAGGCACACCGCATTACATCTCTGAATGTACAACCTGTGGAACGTTGAAGAAGCAGTAGCAGAAGATGCCACTCTCACAGCTAAGACCTGGAACATGAGACTTCAGTTCACACATGCTTACCACTATCACCAACAGAAGATTGATAAAACCGCTTTGTTACATACTTTATTTTCACCATGCCATGGTCCACATAAAAGCCATAGTTTAACATGTTTTACTATTCATTGGTTTTTGGAAAAAGTCAGGCTCAAGATGAGAGGCAGCAAAAAAGGTATTGTGTGGATACGGAAGAACTGGGCAGAAAAGGGACAGGAGCCAGATGGATAAAACCAAACAGTTTGGTGTTGAAACAAAGGAAGATTTTTTTAATCATAAGAGCGTTAGAGTGTCTTGTCTGATCAAACAGTTATCTCACACTAAACTTCTACTCAGTCATTAAAAATCAAGGAGTCACAACGTATTCTACTTGCAAGCCCCTTCAGCTTTGTTTTGTGAGTGTTTTCCCCGGTTGATGAGGCACCTATTCATGTGTGTTGCCAGCATCCTGCTATTTGTGTTTGATATTGTCATGTTTGGGCATCACAGCATATTTGAGATCCTCCATGTTGAAAGGAAAGCTTCCAGGCAAAGCGGAGCACGCGGCTCTCGACCACTCTCAAACCCACCCGTAGTTATTGGTGTGGAATATTAAAGGGTATTAACTTTTCCTGAAGAGTCCAGCTTTCTCACAGAGCAGCAACATGCCATTGACTCTAGAAAACATACGGTGCCCAGTTCAGTGAGATTAGAGGCATTTTTGGTTTGCAGGAATGAAAACTTGAACAGTCTGGTTGCTCAGTTGTCGCTGTTGTGCAACGTTAATGTATTTAGTCTCTTTTTCTGTGCTCTGCCTCCATAACACAATCAAGATACAATGAGAAGTGGGTTATAGCTTTATCTGTTAGATTATTTTCACATCTCTCATCTCTTTGTGATAAATCAAAGCATCATCCTTTCTGAATGTCTTGATAACTATTAGGATGAGCTGATGGTGGAGGTGACTGGTGATTTGTGTTTGGGTCTGCATGTGTGTATAATGTGTTTGTGTGGGTGGGGAGGAGGGGGAGACTTAACTGGTGTCTGCCGGACATCAAAGCGCTCCCACAAAAAAAACATTAAGTCCTGTCTGCATAGTTCAGCAGGAGTGTCGATATCTGCATTTTTGTGTGTGTACATGTGATTGAGTGTGTACGCTCACTAAATGTGCCTCGGTTGCTCTGCTTCCCACTCTTTTCTCATGTTTCTCTCTCTTCTTATCACTTTGACTAATAGACTCTGACCCTATGCTACCAATAGATTGCGCATACATATAAATGGATCTTTTAAAGTTTTTAATCTTTTTTAAACACGCTGTAATTTTTTTTAGCTGGTTTATTGGAATATTTTGATCAAATCAGGTCTGCTCCTTTTTCATCAGCAGGACACCGCCTCCATCCTCGCACAGTTTATTTTCATTGGGCATTGAGGGATCCTCTTCAAACTACTTGCACTCAATGAGGGGGGCCCAGTGGATGACAAGTTAGCCCAAACCCAGTAGAAAAGACCCCTCTCAGCTTTTAAGCCGATACTCCCCAGCATCTTGTGTAGAACTGAATAAACAATTTTGTGGATGAAAGGTGAAATTTCACGAGGATGTCCGGTTGGCTTCAGTCAAGCTCTTAGGATCAAAAGGGATAGAAAGTGAATACATTACTTATCTGATGCTTCCTCTAACCCAGCATGAATTGGAATTGTCATCTGCACAATTGCTGTCTTTTTCGAAATTGTACAGCTGAATGACACCATTACTATAAGTGTCAAACTGGGACCCACACACTCAGAGTTGGAGGAAAGGGGGAGTGCAGTGTACAATTGTGCAAAATTTATAGCACAGCTATAACTAGAACGTATGCTTAAATGGATGCAGTTGGCATGTTTGAAAAAGAAAACAATAGAGATAAGAAATCTTTGCATGCACAAGGCTTCTGAAACAGAAGTGTCATGTTGACACTATTGTGTTGACTATGTTGGCATTTCCAGTGTGCTGTGGCCACGGTATTGCGAGCTTTCTGTGCTGAACATGATGGTGATAGACGTTGTAGCTTGTGTTGATCTCTCTGTCTACCTGTCTTTCTCACCCATTAAGGCAGACCTTTGCAAGGGTGGCATAAGGTGTTAATCACCTCTTCCTGGTATATTAATAGTCACGGCTGAAAGATTGCCGTGTGTGTGCATTTTTCATATTAATGGGGTCTATTGGTATACTGATGTGCATTTTGTATGCGCCCTTATGTGTGCATAATCTGATAACTACGGCTTGTGGAAAGCGTTTAGTAGGTGAAGCAGACTGTTTCGTCTCGTCTTAACCAAAGCCACTGGAGCCAGGGAAAAGTCATATTAATAAGTGGTGGGAAGAGCTGGGAAAGGAGATGTAGCCCAGGTAATAATAGACTCCTTGTTAGCTGGAAGTGTCACAGACACTGGATATAAGGAGGACTCAAAATTCTGAGTCTCATCTTTAAGATATTCTCAGGCGTGTTGATAAAAAGATGTCGAAAAGCTGTCCAAAGCCTATCTTAATTTATGTAGCACTCCAGCCAAATTTTTGTTGATGACTCAGTTCTGTCTCATCAGCAGCTGAGTGTTTTTAATGCAAATTTCTTAAATGTTTCAGAATATAATTTTCTTTAAATGAAGCCCACTTTTTACAATAAGACAATTCTATTAATCTAGTCAAGGACACAGTGGGAAGGTATAAAGTTTTACATGGTTACTCCTGCTGTTCATCCTGCATTTGATGCAATATGAAAATTATATTGTGCTTATTTTAAGCACAGTGTAGCTGTCAAAGATGTCTTTATTTACATAGATTTTACTTGTAGACACAATCACAGCAGGCCTATATCTACGATTTTGCCTTTGCTGTACTTGTTGCATCTTAGGGGTTATATCCACACAAGAGAAACCTATCACAAGATTATAACTTAAACTATTTAACAGTGTTTTTTACTTAGTTCATACGTGAATTTGAACAGATGTTTGATATCTACAGTGTGTATTGTGAATTGTCTCCTCAACAGTTTGGTCTGGTTAAAGTTATTTACACATTTTATGAATAATTTTGATTTTGATGGCATTACAAAATACCAATGCATAACAATATACACATGCTGAAAAATACAGTTGCATGTCTGTGCTGAGGAAATATTTGGGTTGTTTTGAACTATGGCGTTTTGTGACTTATCACTCTTTTACTACTCTGTATCTCTGTGCCTACATGAATGTCCAACCATATGCGAGTGCCAGTGTGCATGAAGACAAAAACACATTACTTAGTGCTGAAAGTAACACCAGGCTTATTATGTACATGTCTTTGTGCATGCAAATTTCTATCTCATTAAACTTGAACGCAACGTGCCAGGTTCACCTGGAAGTCAACCACCCCCAGTTGGCCTGACAGTTGTCAAGGAGACAGACCAGAACGGACAAAATGTTGGCTAACCCATCCAGCTGCCCATGTCGATCTCAAAAAACAAACACTGCCCTACAGAGTGCATATGTATCAATCCCTCACCTAGACTGAAACCTGTCAAGAAAGCAAGGGATCATTTTGTTATATTTATATTCATGTTACTATCTTCATCTATTAGTAAGGCCTATGGACTAATAGATTATTATGTTGCTGTGAAATTATTTAACTTTTTTAAAATTCATAAATTTTAAACTGTGTTATTCAGTTAAGAATTCAAAGAAAATTTGAACCCAACTCATAAACACCCTTTTTTATATGTTTATTCACAATACTGTATGATACACAATCATTATTGTAGTAATGGAACTATGAGAAACATTGAAGTGATAAAGGGCAACGTCTCACAGCAAGAGGGTTCCTGCTTCAAATCTCCGAGGGCCTTTCTGTGTGGAGTTTGCATGTTCTCCCTGTGTTCGTGTTGGTTCCCTCCAGGTAGTACAGCTACATCCCACCATATAAAAACATGCATGTAATGTTAATTGGTGATTCTAACTACTGCAACCATTTTAAATACTTTACTAATTAATGCTTAAATTTTGTGCAGTAATGTAATAGGTTGTAGTGCTATGAAATAATATTGCCGTTCCACTGGAACCTTAGCACATCCCCATGCATCTGCTTAGGCGATAGATAGCTGCTCTTCCTCTGACAATACACCAGAGTAGTTGTCCTTCCCAAGCTCCGCTCCACATGACGGTCAAAAGATATGTAGAAGCCTTCCATAACCCAAACAAGGTACTTAATGAAATATTCATTCCATCCATCCATTCGCCTTATCCACTTTACCCTGTGCAGGATTGGGAGGGGAATGGAGACTTTCCCAGATGTTACTGTCTAAGAGACAAGGTGCAGCCTGGAAAGGCTGCTTGTCCATCACAGGGAGAACATACACAGAGACAGACAGTCATGCATGCTGGTATGGTCTGAATAATGATTGAACCTAATTAACATAATAGAACACATGCATGCATGCATTTGGACTGTCGAAAGAAACTCCACACAGAAAGGCTCTGGCCAGATCCTTGGTTAGAAGCATCGGTATGGATATTTGATACAGCCAAAATTGTGCAACATTCAGGTCTTTTGAAGCCCTGCCCATTTACATATAACAACTTAAAGTTCTGATTTCAAAGGGTAATTGTTGTATACCGTTTTTCTAAGCATTCAAAGCACTTCTATATCACAAACCATATTCACTCATTCCAGACATAGAGCACAGTTTATTCTGTACAGCATCAGAGGCCGCTCATAAACGGGGATTTTCTTGAAATTTTCAAATGTTCTAATAAAATCTTTTTCCCTTTTTTCTGCCTCTGAAATGAGATGGAACATGAAATAAGCATTAGAGAGTTAAAACGTTCAGCTCGTTGTTGAAGGAGCATTCTTACATGTTGACATGATTAAGTGAATTTGTTCCAGGCAGTTTGTGGCTAACAGATTACTAAAAGGAACACTTTAGTGCATTTTTCTGAATAAGAGGTAGACATTTCCAACATTGCCATGTATATAAGAAGCAACACAGTCTTTAGATTCTTCCCTACTTAAGAAAAATCTTTCCAGTTGTGGATAATGATTTGTTTTTCAGGAATGAATCATTTTCTCTCTCTTTCAGGTCCTTTTTCCTCTCTTTCTCTACAAGTTTCTAAGCTCTGTTTGCAGCTTCTTATACCTTAACTTATTTTTCTGTCTTTACTTGTAGCATTTTTAACTCTCCATCAAGAATTTCTCTTGCTAAATATCTCTGCAATTGTATTTCTTAACTTTCTACCTCTGTGTGACTACACTTTGGATGTGTGTTTCTCCACAGCATGTCCATCAGCCATCTCATTATGGCTGTCTGTTTTTACATCCCTTTGCCTCATTAAGCACCACAAACAGCAACTGAGGACAGCAGGCCTCGACTTCAGTGCCAATTTACCCCTCTCTCTCTCCCTCTCTCTCTCTTTGGCTTTGTGTGCATTTTTGTGTGTGTTTTTGTGTTAGTTTGTACTAGCAGAGTGCTCTCTGCATCTCTCTTGTCACACATTACCTTGTCTCCTTGCATTAGATGCTGCCCATCCTTTGCTTCTTCTTCATCTCCTGTTCATCTGTGCTCAAGGGAAACGGAGTTCCTTGCACTTTCCTCAATCTTTTTTAGTTCCTTCTCCTCTCTTGAATATGTTGCTGGAAACTTTAATCCAATGGCTGCTTCCTTTTTCTTGTACCATATATCATATATCACCTAATTATATGTATAACCCTTTGGCTAAATAAAAAAAGCATCAACATTTGAGTTACATCTAAATATATGTTTCTTTTAATGAAGAATTAAATTGAAATCATACAAAGCGGAAGTCAGGGAGAAGAGAAGAACTGGTGGCCTAACGTCTGGCCAGAAGATTGTCAAATAATGGGTTTAAATCAGAAATTCTGGTGCTGGAAATGCAATGTTTTTTATTCATTCATTAGAATCTAGTGGGTTTAGAAAAGACCTTGTCATGCATTTACGTCCAGAGAGGTGGTCCTTACCATTTAGCTCTGCGCACTTTAGATGCCACTAAAGGATTAAGCTGCAGTAGCACAAACTGAGAGCCTTGCACCAAACCTAATGGGAGAAACTAGCTGAATGGACACCTTGAAGCAAAATGCACATAATCAAAACGCACAAATTCTGCCTATTAAACAGACTTGAGAAACTTAGAATACTCTCCATGATCGCAAGATCAGTGTTGTGTTGCCATTGGCTGAGTATGCAGAGCCAATCCACACAACTTCCCATCGGCAGGGATCACCACACCTTCCACCTCCTTTCCTTTAAACCTCTGCCCTTCGTTTAGTGCACAGGGTTGGACTTGTTTCTGCAGTCAGACATTGGATTTGTCCTCACTGGAGAGGGTGGTGTCCTTGCTTGTTGATGAGAAGGCGCAGACTACCGTATGTGCTTCTCTTCCTGATGACATTGTGGAGTATCAAGCGTTCCTTAGTTGCTTGAGGGCAACACTAATTCTAACACTCCCACTCACACACATACATATCTATATGTATATTCATAAATGTATGTATTTGTGAGTATATTTTATTTGTTCCTATTTTCCCTGAAACCAAAAGTCCTTTTTGTGTTTCTCTGTGTGACAACAGGTGAATGAGATCTATCATGACGAGTCTTTGGGAGCGAAAATCAATGTGGTTCTGGTGCGGATAATCATGCTGGGCTATGGCAAGGTAAGGCCCGACAAGAGAAGCTGAATGAAAGAAATGCAGTTCCAGAAATGTGGATGCCTTGTCGCTTTGTCAGCACTATCTGCGATACTAGCCTTTTGCTGCAATCGCTTTAAGTACCTACAGCCAACTTGTGCACACGGACACATATGCACACTCATCAGCACACCCTGATGCCCAGAGCCTGTTATTTCAGTGGGCTGAGCAAAAGAGGAACTAAAAGCATGAAGCATCCCAGGGGAGTGTTTCCAAGTCGCACGCCTTCACAGTTCAGCACCAAAGCACACAGAAACGCAGCCTGTTATGCAATCAGTATTCTTCCCAGTAGTTTACAGCACAGAATCATGGGAAGTCCAGACAAAGATAAACAATCAATGATGGCCCTCCCTCATTCATAAAGAGAGAGCCTGAACAACAGGAGAAGCATCCTTTTCATCATGACAGTTACTTTATCTGCACGTTGGTGACTGATAAGCAAGACTCTTTTGGATCAGAGGAGGGTTGGGATTACCCCGGCCGATGATAGGAGTGATTCCACTGACTGATAGGTGTTCTACCCTGCTGTAGCCACGCCCACGGTCCCAGCAGATCCCTGAAAACCACAAACGCTACAAAGCATTTGTCATTCTCCGCCAGCCCCTTTGTAAATTCAGCCCAGGCTGAGACTGTCCATCATTCCCAATTACCGTAGCAACCAAGCTGCGCCCAGACGGCCTCGGATGGGCTGTGTGACCCTGAATGCTCGTGCACTCGCACTCCCACACTTCACTCGTGCAGTCAAACACATCACAACCTTGTTTGAGGATGATGAAAAATAATTCAAACATGTGCACGGAAAACTTCGGAGGGTAGGAAATAACAAAAATTCGTTATTTAAGAGGTTTGCACAGATTACATATGACACTATTTGCGCTGAGACAGGCCATATGCCTCACATGCCCCTCATACACACAGCTGCATGTTTGACAGGCACGCGTGGGGTGTAAATATAATTAATTCAACCAAAAAGCAGCTAGTACATAGCTCAGTATAAGGCTTTAGTTTAGCTTATTGGTAGTCATTAAAATAATCTATTCCGGGACATATTATCATTATTGTTGCTGTTGTATCTGAGTAAGTTTACGTGTGTAAGTGTGTGCGATATGGAGTGATACACACCTCAGCAGTTTGCAAGATTCGCTGACACTAAAAAGCACTGTGACACTGCCCCCTACAGGGTTGACTGAAATTGTGTGCCAAAATTGAAATGAGAATCTCCTCTTTTTTTCCTTTTTTTCTTTTTTTTGCCTGATCTCACTTTCTCGCTGTGTGTTCCTCGTCTTCTTGTCCTAGTCCATGAGTCTGATTGAACTTGGAAACCCATCTCAGAGTCTGGAGAATGTATGTCGCTGGGCCTTTCTGCAGCAGAAGCAGGACACGGGGGATGCGGAGTATCATGATCATGCCATTTTCCTCACGCGACAGGAATTCGGTCCCACGGGCATGCAGGGTAACTGAATAAATGTCCACAGTCCTGTCTGTTTAACAGATATTGTAATGCGTGTAGCTATGTTGCTCGCTCACACTTAGGAAAATCACAATTAGACAGAGAGAACTCTTCTCTTGCTCTCTTTGCTTCGTATTGCTGCACTGTGCGCTGGCTTTGGTGGTTGGTGGTTTTGTGTGCAGCAGAGTACGGGCTAACAGTCGGGCTCAGGGGAGAGGCCTCTAAAGGCAGTGGCCCTGCTATCCAAAAGCCCTTCAGCCGCCCTTGGGCGCAAGCTTCAGCAGCAGAAAATCAATATACGGAGAAGGGCCAGCCACCGCTCCACAATTAAAGACTGTACAGGACAAAGATCTGAAGTTTGGCATGTGCAGAGGTGGAGGTTTAAGGTTAGAATGAAAGGCGCATACTTTGCTTACAAAGGTATCCATAAACCTTAAATTGTGGTGAGACGCAGCCTTCCTTGGTTTGATCACAGTTCAGTTATTGTTTTAGGTTTTTTTGTGTTTGTTTTCTTGTTTTTGCCTTGCGCATAGACAAACTCAACCAGTTAAATCAAAAGTGTGTAACAGTCTGAAGAGCTTAACTGTCCTAAACAGTTTCAGAAAAATAAACATTTTTATAGATTCACCTGTAAGGGAAAATTGTGAGAGTTGTCAGTATTAAAAAATGTATTAAAGAGTTAAACTAAACATAAATTTTACTCTGTGGGGTAGTTTCTTATGTTGTTGGTGTTTTTGATGTTGTTTACCCGTTGTCTGTGCTCTTCTGTGTTGCTCAGGTTATGCTCCAGTGACAGGGATGTGCCATCCAGTGAGGAGCTGCACATTAAACCATGAGGATGGTTTCTCCTCTGCTTTTGTGGTGGCACACGAGACCGGACATGTGTAAGTGTGACAATAAAAATGTGTCTGAGCCTCCCAGCATGCAACAGTAACAGACAACAAAACGCCCTCTGAAAAGGATCGTGTTGATTCATTATAGAATCTGAGTGAATCGCCACTGCCTTCTTCTTTTCCTGCTTGTTCTCCTCCTCCCACGTGTTCCCAGTCTGTTTCCACTGGTCTTCCTCCCTTCGCTTCACTTCTCTCCTCTGCTCTTTTTCTTCTCGGTCTGCGTAGGCTGGGGATGGAGCATGATGGTCAGGGAAACCGCTGTGGAGATGATGTGCACCTGGGGAGCATCATGGCTCCTCTGGTGCAGGCTGCCTTCCACCGCTTTCAGTGGTCCAGATGTAGCATGCAGGAGCTGGGACGCTACCTTCAGTGAGTTATGGACAGTTGCACTCAGACAGTCACATAAAGCTGCATCTGGGCTTTTACCTGGGCCCCGACATTAGTATACAATACATTTGCTTAGAGTTGTTTTTTGCTGATAGTTTTTGAGTGTCTTTATAATTAATTCTGTCCTTATGTTTAATACTTTTTTTTTTTACAAATAGCATACTTTTATAATGTGTACTGTCATGATGGTGACATCCATGGTATAGAAGCTCAGTTGGCTTCTCCTGTTCCAGCTTCTTTTGATATCAAATTCAAGATTACCATTTTGTTCTAAACTGATTCATTTATTTAATTGATTTGTATTTATGAGATTTATTAGAGTCACTCATTTATTAAGACTGTTACCAAGTCTGTATACGAGTAAGAAAACAGAAGAGAAATGGAAATGTGATAAATTAAGTCTTTTTCTTTCCTTTTCCTTTTTCCTGTTTCAGCTCCTATGACTGTCTACGCGATGACCCGTTTGACCACAACTGGCCATCGCTGCCTCAACTTCCTGGTTTGCACTACTCTATGAATGAACAGTGTCGCTTTGACTTTGGTGTGGGCTACACAATGTGCATCGCGGTAAGAGATCCCTGTAAACTGGCACGTCATACTCATTTGCTTGCACTTACTAACTGCAGCGACATATTTGCCGCCACTCAAGCTCAGAATCGTTTTACTGTCACAGATTAAATGGCCATGCAGTTTAAGTCAGAAAGAAACAGCTGGAGTTTTGATAAAATCCCTTTGAATTAACTGTCTTCAGATAATTCACGAGTTTAACTCTGGTAAGTGAGCTTCCATGGGAACTTATTAGCTCCTAAGTCCAAGTAGTGACATCTATCTCTGATTCACTAAGGAATGATATGAGTCACACATACATAGCTATTCATATTCTTTTGATTTCCTCTGTTTCTTCTCCTGGCCACTGGTGGGATTGACATCTTGCTTAAAAGCAGGTAATTTTTTTGATAGCTTTTTTTTTTTTCTGTTATTAATGTTATTGAAAAAGAAATAGCATATTCATGGTAGCATTAGAGATTATTTGAGACCACAGTGCCTTTACATGAAGCAGAATTGTTTGAACAGACAAAAACACACACAAAACAAGCTTCTTCCAGCTGCAGCATCTTTCCTGGTATCTCTACCCTCTTTCCAGTAAACCTCTCCTTCTTTGTGACTGTGAAGCCACTGTGCCATGCTGATGCAAAGCTATTGTTTTATTGACTTAGGGCTTGTTCAGGGGTTGTGCACATCTTGCTAGATTACTATCTATTCTCTTGTCAAACTCATTCCCCTCAGCTACAAAAGGTGGGCCAGTCAGGAACACAGGTAAGGTTACCCCACCTCTGGGAGGACATGTGCCCCATCATTTATTTTCTGTGATTTTCTTTTTCGATCCGTCCTCTAAAATTGTGTTTTGTAATGTTGCTACTTGTTTTCTTTTTACTCTACCGTATTTCTCTGTTCTACTCATTGTCATATTTTGGGTATTAGCCTGCAGGATTCTAAAACGCTCATACAAAAAGTAACTAAACAAATCCCTCAAAGCACAGTGACTCTGGGTTCATTGGTGCAGTGGTTGTGGCACTACTCAGCGCTTGATCAGTGCCATATTTTGAGTCCTCTCTTGCTAAACTACGTTGAATCACTGCGGCACTGGCAAGAAGGGCCTCATTATACTGGCACTCTCATGACAATAAAAGAGTGGAAAATGTTAGAGCGATGTCTTTCCCATCCAAGGGGAAAGGGCCTAGCCAGAACAGAGACTGTTTTTCCATGTTTCACTTTAGCTTTTAGGATCCTCCAGTCTGATGCAACTGATGATTACCTACCACAGTCCTAGCCACCGATTGCGACTCCCCCTCTGACCTGTAAAGGTCCCCCAGGGTCATGGTAGATATGGGAAGCAGACTTTGGAAAAGAGAGAGAGAGAGAAAAGGGAAATGCTCCCTCAGACACCAAGCGCAGGTCAGTGTGGGGGTATCCTCATCTTTGCTTTTCTCAGATGAGGAAGAGAATCTGGTCCTCCATCTGTGTCCGGAAGAATTCCACAGGTCACTGAAACCTCACCTTTTGGCTTTCAAACATTTTGCCCTCTGACCTCCCTCATGGTGCAATTAAACCATAGACTGCCTCACTCTGAGAGTCTCGTCCCTCTTGATCATCCATTTGTTGAGTTTGCATGAATGGCTGTGATTATCAGTGGAGCACAGTGTGCAGTGCGGTGACTCAGCTCAGGTTCAGTGTTTTTATCGTTGGGTATTTCTTGTGGTGGCTACTGTTCTCGTGATATTTCTCTTCCCATCTCTACTTTTGTTTACCTTCCTCTGTGGTTAGTTCCATTACAGCTATTTTCATGATAATCAACCTCTTACCGAGTGTTATTCATGGCTGACTGTGGCTTTTGACTGTAAGGAGTCTTTCTCTGTGCTCCACAGTACCGCACATTCGACCCATGCAAGCAGCTGTGGTGTAGCCACCCAGACAATCCATTTTTTTGCAAGACCAAGAAAGGACCACCCATTGATGGAACCATGTGTGGGAATGGCAAGGTATTGATACACATGTAAAGAAAGGCAACTTAATGCACTGTTTCCAAATACTAAATTTAGCCTGTATTGTTGGTCTGTTGCAGCACTGCTTTAAAGGTCACTGTGTCTGGTTGACTCCTGACATCATGAAGCAGGATGGAAATTGGGGCTCATGGAGCGAGTTTGGCCAGTGCTCCCGTACCTGTGGCGGAGGAGTGCAGTTTCGCACACGCGACTGTGACAATCCAAGGTATGATTTATGATACTTTTACATCAGTTTTATGACACTAGCCTTTCTTTTATTTAATACTCATTTCAACATGTTTCACAAAACGGCCAGAAAACCCTCCTCTCTGTCTTCTCTCCATGTATTTTATGGTCGTAATTTTATGCACATTCTTTTAATCTGTTTGGACAAGCAGAAAAAAAGGCATTTCCCATTGCTGCAGAAGGGTTTCCATCCGTCTGTAATTCCATCTGATTTAATTACTATGTTCACTGGTTTTCTATGTAATGTTTAGCTGAGTAGCAGCTGCAGAGTCTATGTAAGCTGAATAACAGCCGTCCTACCAGGAATCAGGATCCGCACATTTAGTCTCTAGAAAGAGTGGAATGGGGACACAGTAAACAAACAGGGACACAGTCTCTTCCAGTTCCATGCACAAAGGTCTTTCACAGGGAAGGTTTCTCTTATTTGGTGCATCAAAAGTTAAGGTACATGTGACAGTAATAGTCTGGAATATGTACATTTTATAGCATCAGCAGGAAGTGAAAAATCAAGATAAAGACACTCATTTTGAATATCTTTTAAATATTTTGAATAAGCATGATGTCAATTGGGCACACAGAAGACTTTTGTTTCCTCCTGCTTTGCCACCTTCCTAGACCAGACAAAGGAGGCTTGCCCTGCATGGGAGCAACTTACCAGTTCCAGATGTGCAACACCAACAAATGCGAGGATATCTACAGCGACCCGAGAGAGGAGCAGTGTCATGCTTTTGACCACAGCAAAAAGCACCACTGGCTGCCTTATGAACACACAGACGGTGAGTTTGCACCTGCACACATAACACTTTAGTGGAGATGTGGAGCCACCTTAGAATGAAAAACCATAAGTGGAAACGCATCGGGGGAACTGTTATTCACACGAAAGCCAGAAAGAAAGAGTGAACACAACGTTCAAAGAGAATAGTTTTTGAAGAGATTTTCAAAGACATGGCAAGTGTTTTTGGAAGGGCGTTGTCATAACTCAAAGCTGTGCTCACACTCAGCAGGACAGCCAGATGTCAGTGACAATAACAGGACACAACTTATAAATATATAAACCCACTAAAACTCAGCTTAAAAATGCATCCTCCCCCTCTCCATCCATTTTCTGATGTCATTTGAACCTCAATTACGCTCCTTACGCCTCCATCTTTCACTCTGTTTATGTATGTATAAGTTCATATATTGAAGTTTAAACTCCAAATACCTCTGTTTAATACCTCCAAATACTTTGAGTCATTCAAGAATTTCATGTGGGCAAATGCATGTGTAGTTGTCCTATGATATAACTGTAGGTCAGTCTCAGTGTTAACGTCATGCCAGCATCTTGAGCTTATGTTGCGTGAAATCAAGGAAGGCTGACCTTATCAAAATGTTGTTCATCATTATTTTTTCTAACTGCTCCATTTTTAGCAAAAGTTTTACCATCTCAAATGACTTTTCCATGTGTGCGTGAGTAAGACAGAACAAATAAAATGAGGGGAGGTGAAATTGAATTCCATTCATGGTCTATCATCCCTTAAATTCCAGATAGTGTGAGAACATCTTCTCCAGATGTGAACTAGTAACATTTGTTCTGCAATTAGTTTGTATTTCCGCGTCTAACTATTCTGTTTATTCGGTCTGCTTTCCTAATCAAATCCAGTGTGAACAGGAACTCCCTACAGAATAGTGGTTTTAGAAGAAATCCCGTGACATTATTTATTGATCCAAAATAGAAATCTATTTGCATGCTTTTGTATCAAAGTTGGAGAAGGGAACAGGAAGCATGACTGACAATTAGCATATAATTTATGAAAACACAGAAACTACAGCTCCTGCACTTTAGCTCCTTGGCTGCACTCCGCTGAACGTACATGACAGTGGCCACATCATCTGTCACAGCACAGGAGATCAGAGTTCTTTCTGACAGGCAGTGGTGATGTGTGTTCTTTTTTAACTCGCCAAAATAATAATCCGATAACCCTGTTTGTAGCGTGTCTGCCACCTGTTTATTAGTGACAAAGCTCCAAAAGACAAGGTCTCTGGATTGCGACCATCTGCATGATGAAGTAGGAGTGTTCATTCTCACTCAGACAAACTGCCAGGTTTTGTCTCTGGGGGCTCGTGTAGTTGTAGTATGACTCACTCAGACAGACACAATGAGACACGGTGTCACAATGACTCACAGAGAGCTCATTCAGAGTATGAAAAAATAATCGTGTTGGTTGGAAAAAAAAATGTAAAGATCAATTTGAATTTGGTGGATGTTAAAAGTGTGTTTGTGCTTTCCTCTAGCTAAAAAACGCTGCCACCTGTACTGTCAGTCGAAGGAGATACGGGATGTGGTCCTCATGGAGAGGATGGTCTTGGATGGCACACGCTGCTCATACAAGGACCCGCACAGTGTGTGTGTGCGTGGGGAGTGTGAGGTGAGCAACGTTGCGTGTGTATCTGCCTTAGAGTGAAGCAGCTGAACCCATTCAGATCTACACTCGGGAAACATTCTAACTTTTGTTACTACAGAAAGTTGGCTGTGACGGCGTGGTCGGCTCCTCAAAGCAGGAGGATAAATGTGGGGTGTGTGGAGGCGACAGCTCCAGCTGCAAAACCTTCAAAGACACAATCACACGAACTGCAAAGAAGCAAGGCAAGCGCTCTTAATTATTGGATTTTACGCTGTCTTGTCAATATGACTTCAGTTACTCCAGTGTCAGCTGTCATACTACAGAGAGCAGAAAAAAAAAACATTTTGCTTGAGTGGATTTGTCAGGAGGGTGGACTTATGTTTAACTAAGCATCACCCTCTAGAGGAACATTTGTGAAATTCACCCTGAACCTCAGGAACATCTGGGCTTACATGTTTCCACGTGAGCATTCCCAAGACTTTACGTCAAACTTTATGAGGTAATGTGAAATATATTATCTAGCTCTTGATGTTCGGACAGACCTACATCAGAATAGCAGAATTCCCAGAATAGTCTGTTTTCACAGGCTGAAAACTATCCCGTCTGCAGGGATTTTAACTCGTGAACCAGGAAATTTGGCTGAAGAGTGAAAGACATCTTTACCAGATTAGCTGACTGCAGGAAACTGTAAAATGAGCTTATAGAGGAGTTGGCAGCCTCAAACCATATGACTATGTCATTTCAGGTTTCCTCAAAGTTCTTGAAATACCCAGAGGAGCGAGACATTTGCTAATCCAAGAGCTGAAGGCCACCTCACACACTATTGGTATGCAACACTGTGCCTTGTTTTTATTTTAGAAGCCTGTATATGTATTTATTTGGACTTCATCATGGAAAAAATATCTCTTTCTTATCTATGTACAGCTGTGAAGAACTTGGCATCAGGACTGTTCTTCCTAAATGGTGAAAATGAATACCCAGAATCCCGTTCGATCATAGAGAAGGGTGTGGAGTGGGAATATGAGAATGACAACGACAAGGAAACCCTTCAGAGTACTGGACCTCTTAGACATGGAATTCTAATTATGGTACATGTTTAGCATGAAGTGCATTAGCATTAAATCACCATAACTGATTAAAAGAGTTATTCATGGTTATTCATGTTTCTCAGTAGGTTTATGTTGACTTTTCTGTTTGTAGATGAAATTACATGGGGATGAAGATATAAATTTATCCTATAAGTACATGATGAATATGGAAATAGACTTTGCTATTCAAAACAACATGCTGGTGGAGGACAGTGCCTATGAGTGGGCTCCCAAGAGATGGTCTTATTGCTCCAAGCCTTGTGGTGGAGGTACAGTAGAGTCTGGAAAACTAGTGTCTGTGATGTCACCTGTCTGTCTTTTGGTTGGCTCGGTTTGTGTCTCTAAGCTTACAAAAGTTTCCACCTCCTTCTCTTCTAGGGAAGCAGTACCTGCGATATGGCTGTAGAAGAAAGGTTGACAGCAAAATGGTTCATAAGAGCTTCTGTAACAAGTCCAACATGAAACCCAGAGGAGACATCAGAGACTGTAACCAGAAGCCCTGCCCTCCACCCATGTATGTGTTCTTATCTTGGGCAACAGCACAAAAAAAAACAACAACCTGTGCATCTCAGTAATTTGGAATCTTGCTGTTGCTTTCGTTGTTTCTGCCGTTCAGCTGGGTGATGGGAGAGTGGCAGAACTGCAGCAAACCATGTGGAAAGACTGGCCTACAAGTCCGCTCTGTCACCTGTGTGCAGCCTTCATATGACAACACCACACGAATCATCCACAACAAACACTGCAACGACGACCGTCCGGAAGCCCGCAGACCCTGCAACCGACACGCCTGCCCAACCCAATGGAGAGTTGGCCCATGGTCACAGGTATCCAGAAAAGACATGGTTTGACAGAATGATATGTTCTAGTAGTGTAGAATGAAGCTGTCTCTATTAAGCAGACATTATCTCACTTGTTAATAACAACAAATGAAAACATTTTAATGTTTGCTTACCTATATACCTTGGTCGTGTTTTCACATGGTACATTATGTCGCTTACACAAATCATTTGTGATTATTTACTTCACCAAGTTTGTATTGTGTTTACTCTCAGTGCTCTGTGACATGCGGTAACGGGACCCAGCAGAGGCAGGCTCTATGTCACACCAGGGACAACACCATTGGCCTGTGTCTGGAAAGCAAACCGGAGACCATAAGAGTTTGTCGCCAGGAACCATGTCGCAGTAAGTGTTTAGAGAAATTCTTACTTGTGAGTAATTTTGTGACAAAATGCAATCAGGACAGTTTTAACGTTTCAAGTAAGAGGGGTACAAAAATAGGCCAAACTGCACAGCAGATCAAATATGTGGAATCTTAGCTGGGTTGTACTGAACACCTTCCCATAGCCACGACAAGGGGTTAAAACTAATTGATGCACATTTTATGCTCTCAGGTATTGTGTGTGGAAAAGCACCACTATTATTAATGACCATTAAAGAGTCCACATTATTTTCACTAGCAGATTACAATATTTATTTTCATGGTAAATGACACAGATTGTGTGCATTCATGTAAAAAAAAAAAAAAAATTCTCTCCCTCCTACTTTATGTGTGAAATAGCTCCATCTAACTACTGTTTTTCAGGCCACAGGCTGAGTTCAAGACAGCAGCTTTTGTTTTTGTGATGGTGCTGTGAACTTCTTTTACATGTAGAGTTAAAAAAAAGTCATTTTTGAGCTAAAGAAGAATAAAGAAACTACCCAAATCCTAAAGTCTTTGGTTTAAAAGAGTTCCATCATTGTCTTGTTTCTTTGCAGAGGGCTCATCAGACCTCAGCAAGAACGGCAACATTCTGATCCAGTGGTTGCCTCACCCAAACCCCAAATACACAAGGATCTCACGTAAAAACTCCCTCTATAGTTCCCAGCCTGGCCTTCACAGCAGCAGCCACAGCTGCATGTCTGTCCTCTACTGGGCCCTGCCCATCTCTGTCCTCCTGTCTCTGCAGGGCCGGCCCCGCCTGGCCCCCTGATCCACCCTTCCCCCATGCCTTGTGCCTGTGCCCACGCCCGTGAGCGAGCGGCAAAGCTTTCGCTTCTCTTTTGGGGGGGATGTTGTCTCTCTCTGTGTCTGAGACGGCTCTGACCGAGGGAGGTCTCTGGCTCCTGTGTGTGCTAGTTGGTTCTCTCTTGCTCTGTCTCTCTCTATCTCTTATCTCTCCTCTGTGGAGCATTGTGTTGTAACCACTGGCCAGTCGAAAACTTTCAAGATCAACAAAAAATGTGATGTGAAAAGGATCTGAAGTGCCAATGCAAACAGGTTTTCATCGGCACCTCCTGAGATGTGTCAAAGAGCTGTTCGTATGCGAGGGATTCCCCCTGCATTTGGCGGCCATGTTTTGCGCGAGCTAGCTGCGTGTTGTCATGGGTTACCACTCCTAAGATGCAGCTGCGCTTTTTTCATTTTGTAGCGCATTGTCAGTGTGAAGAGGTGTGAAAATAAACAGAAAAGGTATATAAATATCTATATGAAAAAAATATATATATATCTACAAAAAATATGAAAGCTTTATTGTGAATGTGATCTGAGGACATCTTTGCTCAAGTGCTCATCCGACATCCTGGTTCCATTTGGGAATGAGAATGGTGTCTCATTCTACGTTCCATTCTCAGATTGACAGGAACTCAGCACAGGGAAAGGAAGTTATATGAGTAAAAACTTTAGATTTTTGGGGGAGGGGAGGGAACAGGGAGGTGAAGAATCTTGATGAACGAGAAAAAAAGAGAAAAAAAACAGGGTAGTGTGACCACTTGAGGTTGCTTCCCATTTCACCTCATCATCAGCCATCCTCTCTTTGACTGTTATACAAAAGTTCAATAAATGCAGCTTATTTGTGCTTGCAGACTTTAAACAAATACATCTATGAATATATTTGTATTTATATATACCTATAAATCTAAATCTATATGAGTTACAATAATATTAATAATGTTTTACCATGAATAAGCTGTAGCTTATTTGCCTAAAACCTTTGGACTGCTATTGATCGCTTAGATCCTTGACTGTTATGTGTATTTTTTTATTGATTTTACATGAATACAGATAAATATTTAATAAAGGTAAAGTGTTTTGGGGGGAAGGGGTTAGACCTATATTATGCAGGACTTGGTCAGTTAGTTGCCTCTCCATTCTCTCAGATGGATCAATGGTTTGCTGTCGCTTCTTGTTTTCTTTCAGGATAGGATCACATTTTTTGTCATGCACATTTGCATCCATTACCTGTATGTTTGCATCTCTCTCTCTCTCTCTCTCTGTCTTTCTCTGTCTTTCTCTGTCTATATATATATAGATAGATAGATAGATAGATAGATAGATAGATAGATAGATAGATA